AGAATTACCCAGCGTCTATATTAATATGCCTTCAATAGTGCTTCCACAATTAGAACTTATAAGCAACACTTTTTGACAGTAACTTAGAGAAGCGTTGACTAACCATAGATATTCTAGTTTTAAACAATCTGATATATTTATTTTTTCTTTCAATTGTTATAATTTTTCAAAAGCTACCATCAAAATTATAGATAAAATATTGATTCCCCTTGCAAACTATAAAATCGATCATATCCTTGCAAACTGCCAAACATGATGGAAACTCCAAGTGCATGCCCATCTTCAAACATATGGCCACCAAAAGGCACAAGCAAGTGTCTGGAGGAAAGCAAGAGACAAAGTAATAATCCAAGTTATAAGATTCTGAGAACATTCGAAACAGGCAGAACCAGTGGAGACAAAGGAAACCACAAAGTGTTAAAATAACATATCAAATAACCGGTATGGATTTCACAATCCATACAAGAAAGCAACTTTCACTAAACTCAAAACAAATATTTCCAGCAATATAAGGAAAATGAATCCATTCTGGGATTTACGATGCCAAATCTATTTCATCACGTTAACTTACAAATGACACGACAGGTGAAGACCCCAGAAAATATAAGTTCATATAAAAGACTTGAAAAGCATTAGGGTTTTTTTTGGTTAATGATGAATCACAAAGAAGCTAATTTGCATCAAAAAATAAATTCACAAGCATGAGATGATCATTACAATTGTCCTTAATATAAATTATAATCAGTTCCGGGAATAAAAAAAGTGGAGGGGAGAACAAGAAGCAACTTCAATTCCATTACTTAATTGATCGGCAATTCATCGCTCGAAAATTAGCAACAGAGAAGATATCAGAACTTTTAATGCTCTAATCGAACCCAAACCGAACTCTTCAGCCAAGTGAAAAGTAGAAGTAAACTTCAAATCCGTTCATTCGTATTATGTGGAAACAATGGAATTAAAACATAAAATTCACAGGTTCATTATGAAAATACAATTGCCAGAGATGTTTTAGCTGCTTCCAATTCTTAAACGTGTGCATAACCAATCAAACGCTTCCATTTAGCTATAGAAATAACTATTAGCTCTAATTACCGATAATCACCGTCCATTGCAATTCACTTTCCCTCATTTTCTCAACCACCAAACAGATCGAACAATCAAAAAGTTAAAAATAGTCATACAACTCAGAAATACAAAGCAAATTATAACTTACACACCAGGTAAATCTTGCTGCCTTCGCTGCCAAATCTGAGCAACTCGTGAGCTGAAGCTAAAGCCTCCTTCAACGAAACTAAAGCCTTAGGAGTTTCTTCAGGAATCGCTTCTTTACTTTCTTTAATTTCCTCAAACATTGGCGTCAACAACTTCAATCTTCTACCTAAATTACAGTACTGTTTCTTGACCGTGCCCCTGTAATCTGAGATTGACGCTATTTCGTTAACTGTATCGATCAGACTCTGTACAAGCATTACTTTGTCTTCCTCCATTACGGCGAGAGCTTAACTGAAAACCCACCTAAACTAAAACTAAACTAATTAAACTACAATCAGATCTCACTGTACGCCCCGTATTGTGAGTGCTGGTTAGCAAATACTTTCTCTGATATCTGCAGATTTGTGTTAAACTTGGCAATGTTTTGTGCTTGATTTAGTGGTGGCTATACTCGTCCGGTCTCCATGAAAGAGGAGACTTTTAGAGATAGAGATAGAGAGAGAAGAGAGTGCCTCTTGACTCTCTTTTGGTGGCGCGGCTGAGCGAGCTAAATCCAGGTTACGGGTTGGGTTTGGACTTTGGACTTGAGTTGAGAGTTAACATGGGTTTGTAAATGTTAGCTTAGCTAAGAGTAGGAAAGCTGACACTCTGTCTTCAGCTGGGCTTTGGCTAAGGGTTGAGTTTTGTAGCTGAGCGAGCTAGGGTTGGTTGATTCAGTTAAACTAATGCCGGTGAATTTGCGCTGCTAAGTCATTTAGCAGTTAATTCGTTACGACAGTAGACAGTATTTAAACAAAAAAAAACACTAATTAAATATTAAAAAAGTAAAAAAATTAACTAAATCCCCTAATTTTGAATAAATGGTGACCTCTTTTTTTAATCTAGGACGAAAGACAAAATAATGCAAAAACAGAGGATGCACTCAACTGGATGTCGTGTTTGACCAGCGGGAGTAGTAGTAGTATCCGTGAATAAGAAGAATATTTAGGCAATAAAAGCTTTAAATCTTTTGAGTAGCACAGATAAATAATAAAGAATAATGCTACAGTTATCGAAAGATTTACAGTGAATGACGTGATGAAATCTTGGCCGTTGATTTATTATAAATTAATATTAATCAACGGTCAGGATTTTATCACGTTATTCTGTATATATATTCGGTGTATAATTTTCAGTAACTTTACCATTTTTCAATGATGAAACAACATACACACCAGGTCACCCTGCGGTAGAGTAATCATCATGCGACGTGATTGGGTAGCCATGCATGCAATTGCAAATGCAAGTTTGAGGAGAGGGGCTACCGGGCTAGGGCTCTTTCTATCCGATTATGGTCCAACAGAGTAATCATCATGCGATGTGGGAGTGGGACTTGGCCACTTGGGACACCAACCCACCTAACATTAGACGTCCTACAAGTTGGGTTGCATGCGAATACGCGTAAATTAAATGATTATATTGGTGGACAATTTGCATTTTCCTTTTAACATTTCTACATTTGGAATTCACTTGGATGGGTTGTTATAGATCCTAATCAAATGAATCAACTTGCGTTCCCCAATTATTATCAGTGTTTCCACTATCACGTCTCTAATTAAGGAAATATTATAAAGTATTATAAATAAGCTTATACAGCTATAAATTTATGATGCTTTGAATGATACCAAGAATTGTGGATTAAATTAAAGGCTGCGTCTTTCTACGTTTCAAATTGTGACGGTTTTGTAAGAATTAAAGTTCATATTATTAATTAAAGTGTTCTATGAAGTTGTAAAATACAATAAAATACTGTAGTATTTTTGAGGTTGGATTGGATCAAACAGAAAGTAAAAAAGAAGTAAAAACTTAAAAGAAAATGTTTTTTTTTTTTTTTTTTTTTTTTTTGTATTTTTCATTTATTAAAAGCAGGACAAGAACGATAATGCGGGCAAAGGCAAATACTATATAAGCTAAAAAATATTACATAAATATCTTTGAAAACAAGGAATACTGTTGATGATGATTCATTGAAAATAAAAATCCTCTGTATGATTTGATCACAGCTAAGCAACTTGCGTGACAGGACAGCCAATACCAGACGGCCTACTGGGTGGGCCATAGGAACCTCTGCTGCCGTTCGATCAAGTTATAAAATCAAAAGAGGAAAAGTCAGAAAATTTAATATGAATTCACATTTGAAAATTGAAAGCGTACAAGCGGGGACCCACCGGTAGTTATAGCCGTCTGATCACTACCCAGTCGTCTATCAGGATCAGAGATACACGTGGCCCACATGCACGGAGTGGGTGGTGGTGGGTTTGGGAAGATTAGATCGTCACTTCGCTCTACCTGATAGCGACTTGTGTCTTAATCCCACTGGGCTTCATTTCAATCGGCTCGGCTTTTTTAAGCCGTTTTCAACGACCCTCCAGCTCTATCCACCATGTTCCATGCTGTTTGTCCAAACAATTAAATTAGCCAATTAAGAATTAGAAAGAAGTCCACATCACTCAAGTGGGTCCCGCTGCTTTCTTACATTATGTGCTGCAGTGGGTCCCGTGAGGGCGAAAACTGTGACACATGGTCGACATGTTAACAATGATGATGATCGTGGTGTCTTATCCACCGTGGCACGATCCGGTCTTGGAGTTGAGGACGAATAAGAACCGCCCATTTAGGATCCCATGATACTGTGCAGCCTACGGGAATACTAAAATTCTTAGTAAAAAAGCTAACAAAGTGGTGATTATGATGACCATCAAAACGTACCCCATGAATAAATGTACATGATGTTAGTTAATTGCAATTAATAATATTGTTTAAGAACAACAAGGTCTATTACAATATTTTATTTTTTCTTTTCTTTTCAAATAACTAAGAAAATATTATTTTAGCCGTCTGATCACTACCCAGTCGAAGATGAAGCATAGACTTAAAGCATGATCACTAAGAAAATTCTATCAAGATGAAGCCGACCCGTCGAAGATCATGGTAGTAGAAATCTATTGTACTAAACAATTTAGAATTTGAAATGAGAGACACAAGTATACCCGGGGACCTATTATATCCACCGTCGGCTCTAAGTGGGACCAAGGAAAATGGCAGGGATGATGCAGATGCATGTGATCTGCCGTAACGATATTTGGTGTTTAGTGCAACGGGCTTTCCTTAATTTGGGAGTAAGTGATCGCGTCACAACATGGTGAGCTTCCTACTGTTACCGTTACTGCCTTGTCTTTCTTTCCCTTCAACTGGACAAAGCTGCGATACACGTAAGCCCGTTCTTATCTCTATCCCAATTGTCTGCTTCCATTCACCCTCACTTCAATCAAATCTGCCAAGTGTTTTTTATTTTTAGTTTCCTAGTGACAAATTTCTTATTTTTATTTTACTATTTAAATAATTTTTTATACCTCTATATGAGATTTATGAAAAAATATCATATGGTCAAAATGATGAAAGTGTCAAGTAAATTATAAAAAAAAAAGGCTTATATTATTCAATTAAATTAATTATAAGAAACCTTTTGTTGAGTGGATCCAATTGATCCCATTTCTGACCCACGTGTAGTTAGTGGGAGGGCAATTTGTAATCTGAAAAAAGTACAAATTAAAATGTAGAGCGGGATAATTAGTAAATAGCCGGGGTTCAAATAGAATCAATATTTTTGGGGTCAAATTGGGCTTTAACTGAAAACTGAGAAGTTAATCTGCAAACTGTAGCCCAATAATATGGGCCTTCAGTTTGCAGTCACATGGAAAAAACGTTGACCGTTTAGCCCAAGGCTCTGATCTAAAGAGACCGATGCACTCACACCCAAGCACGGCATCACAGCATTCCCTAATTGTCGTTGCACATTATTCCCAACTCGAACAAATTTTGGCGCAAGAAATGGTACAATTAAACGATCACATGAAGCTCTCAGCTTCATTGCAGTTAATCGGTCGCTGTATAGTCTCATTTATCTTCGTGGTGCTAACTCAATTTGCCATCTCTTTAGTTCCTTGCTTCTTCTCCGGCTCACCATTTTTTATCCAACTCACGCTCTCAGGTACGTTTGTTTATTTATATATATCAAATTTAAAGTTGTTTTATTTTGGAACTCTTTGCTTTTGCAGCTTTGGTGCTGCTGGTAGTGGTAGGTGTTGGTGGATGGAGTAGGCGGATTCTTAGAGTCTATGCGTCAGCTCCGGCTTTCGTTTTTCTCAATATACTGTTTATTTGGGGTTCTTATGTGGCTGTTATTCGACGAGGTGCTTTTATGTTCTTGAATATTCTATTAGTATTGATAATTCTGCTATTTTAATTCATATGGAGGCTAAAATTTTAAAATTAATTGTAGGTAGTTTCTTGCTAGTTTAATGCTTTCTAAAGTTTACCTGCTTTTTGCAGCTGTTTCAAATTTAATGGATGCTTTATTCAATGGACAGATTGCCGTTATCGTAATTGGTTTGTGTAGGTTGTTTTTTTGTTTTTTTAAACCTTGCATCTGTCTCGTCGTAGTTGATGTCTTATTGTGTTATTTGACTATTTCTTACGCTGATATGATTGTTGTTAACTGCAGGATCCTTTCAAGTGATCCGGGTCGGGTAACACATGAATCTCTTTGTTCGGACAGACTTGTTGAAAGTTCAGGTTTTGGAGTTGAACCTGGCAATAAGGTTTAAAAGTAGAGCCAAACTAGCCAATTTTTTAATGTAGTATGCATTATAAGTAGCGAATGTTATGATTACTGAGCTGAATTTGCTTTTATTTTCTCATTTTAGGGTCTCAGAGCAAATAAAATTTCTGTCATCTTATTGAGTAAAATTGCATTTCTTAACTTTTGTTGCTCTTGACTCTGGAGGATAGCTTTTGATTGTTTCATGTTTCGATCTCTAGAAAAACTTACATGATCACACATTCATGCACAACTATACAATGAACAAGGTCAGATGTTTTGAATTTTGCATTTCACATTGAGGCTTACTTTTTAAAACAGTATTATTCAACATAAGCACATGAATTATGTGTTTTCAACTATTTTTTTTATTGCCTCTAAATTATTTCCGGGCTGGATCTGATCAATGCCTCAAGCAGTTGGCTACTATCACCTCAAGTATATTTGTCATTTCTTTTTATAATTTTTTTTTTCTGACAACATCAGTGACTTTGTGAAATCGTGTCTTCCTCAATGCAGATAAATTGAATGTGTTCCAAATGAGTTTTAGGCCTTATTGTCTCATTGTCATTTAATTAATTAATTGTTTTTAAAGTTCTTATACTTCTTGCTTTCAGAATTCCCCTTCACTCAGGAGGGTAAGATATTGTAAATCGTGCAAGGCACACATAAAGGGGTTTGACCATCATTGTCCTGCTTTTGGGAACTGTATAGGTAATGATATCGTATTAGGCATTATTTCCTTTTAAATCCTTAAAACTTTTCGAAACCATTTCAGTTTATACTTGATCTTTGACTTCTTAACTTGTACACTTAAAACTATGTGCCTTAATAGAGAATAATGTTGATCATGTTATCGTGTAGGCCAGAACAACTATGTTCTCTTCATTGCTCTTTTGCTTGGATTTTTAACAGCCGAAGCCTCTTACCTTGTGTGCTCAGTTCAGTGTAAGCTTAGCCTTGGTGACACTTGAAATGTTTGTCTTATCCACTTGACACTGATCTTATATTGCATGATAAGGATGTTTTCAGTTTTCCTGCCTTTCACTTGAACCAAAAAAAAAAAGGGATTATGCTAGGTGATTAAAAGTATTGGTAAAATGATGATCGATCACTGAAGGATATATTTAAAAAATATGGGTAACCAAACCTATGCTTGGTTGTACTGTTATCAACTCTATATTATGTTTTTATTAGTGCTTTCGATGTTATATTATTCATTTTTGTATTCTTATCCCTTTTTCAGTTGTCAGAAAATCTCAAAAATTTGATAGAAATTGGTTAGAGGTAGGTCATGCTTTCCCTTTCCTTGCTGCGGAAGTGTTGCTTGCTTGTAAATTTTGGTAGTAAATATTGTAGAAACAGCCATCAGCACCCTGCAATTATTTGTTTTGTTTGATGTAGATTAATCTGGTTGGAAATTTGGCTATTAGCACGATGCTGTTCTCTGTTCTCCAAATACTATGGCAGGTTTGTATTGGTCTTTCCCCTCTTAATGTAAATTTTGTTTTCAAGAGATTATCTAAAATGATGTATTCCGTGTAGGGTGTGTTTCTGACTTGGCATTTATATTGTGTATGCTTCAACATCAAAACCGATGAGTGGGTAAGTCCCTAACCACAATTAAAAAAAATATGAGAGAGAGAAGGAGAGAGACTTGTTGCTGACCATGTCTGAATCACATGATATTGCTTTGATCAGCTTTTAGAATTGATAGCCTTGATAATGTTTTCTCAGATAAACTGGAAGAAATATCCAGAGTTTCAACTTGTTCAGTCTGAACCAGGTGAATATGATTACAGAATAATTCTTGCTTATGGATATCAGTAACAATTTACTCATAGTTAGTATTAAAATCAATTTTTTTTTTTTTTTAATTTTCGTACCCAGGAGAAAGCTTTACTAGGGTGGAGTTTAGAAATCCATATGATAAGGGTGTTCTACAAAATGTGAAGGAACTTTTAGCATTAAGATGATAACAGTATCAATGCATATATTCCACTAACATGCGGTAATGGCTGTCTGTCTTCCTTGTGCTGGCAATTTATGTTTGTCGAAGGCAGTATTTTGATGCACAAAATGAGCCTTATGAGAATTTAAATGATAGCCTTGGCTCATATGAAGTTACCTCTATGTAAATACGTTTCTTTGGATTAGGGCACAATCAAAATGTCAATAGAATGGAATAGCCTGATGACTAATTTGTAGTGCTAATCGAGTTATTGGATAATTTAGTCTCAGTTTATTTTTTTCGGCATGTGATATTTTATATTTATCCTCTTTTCTTGGCCATTGATAATCTGATGTGACTTTGATGAAAATATACTTCAGGATGATCACCAACGATAAACTGCATGTAAGGAGCAGTGGAGCACATATGGATATGATTCTCCTAATAATTTTTTGTCATATATCTTACGTATGGAACGTTTCTTCATTATCATAAAGAGATAGGAAAAATGCCCGGGCCCAAAACCCCGTCCCCAACCAGTCCGGACCAGGCCCAAGGGAGGAGGGATGGGCCCAGGCCGATCACTCCTTGGCCCGGGTTTGGGATCAGTCTCATGCTCGGGCCCATTAATTTTTAAAACCCCCATCCAATTATATACTCTCTGACAAATATTCAAAACATTCTTATAATATATGAAATATATAATAAATTTAGGGGTTCAAAATAATTTTATAAAAAATTAAAATAAAATAAGCTAAAAATTTTTAGGCTCATAGAACTGGTCTTAGGACAAGTTTAGGCCTTAAGAAAACTTATGGACCCAAGACCGGTCCTTGAGGATTTTGGCTTGATTCCTCAAGAACCGGTCCCTATTTTTAAATTAGGGCCAGATCTTGAAGGCCTAGGCCCGGGGCCCGTCTGGGCCGGGGCCTTGCCCACCTTTTTCATTATCTATCTTCAAGGGGTTTTGCAAATGACTTCGAATGTTGTAGAGAGTTCTTCTGACAGACAACGTGAGATTATCTCTCCGTTTAGTAGCCTATTTACTTTGAATTTAGACAGAAAAAATAAAAACAAAAACAAAAACTGGGTGCTGCGGTCTTGGCTTGAGAGGGACAATAGTTTATGTATGCAAATTCTCCATCTTAAGATCTGAAATAAACCTGGAATTCTGGATTAAGAGCCTGCTCTTCTTGTACCATTAATTACAAAATTGTTACCATCTGCAACCCACTTGAGATTTGAAGAGATTCGCCCATCCATATCGCATTAGACAAATTTAGAAACGAACATAAAAGATTTTTAGGTTATTGAAAATCACACAAATTAATTATTTCAGAAACTTCTTACAATCACTCGCACAGACATCATTAGAAAACAAACAAACAAACTCATGCTTTTTTTTTTTTTTTTTTTTTTTTCAGACAATTAACTGGAAAACCAACGAAATAAACACAATCTCGGAACAAGCATTTTGATTTAATTAGCCAGAAATCTCAATGGCCTTAACTTCAGGCTTCTTCTCCTCCTCCTTAGGAACAGTCACAGTGAGCACTCCATTCTCCATGCTAGCTTTCACTTGCTCCATCTTTGCATTCTCAGGCAACCTGAACCTCCTCAGGAACTTCCCACTGCTCCTCTCCACGCGGTGCCACTTGTCATTCTTCTCTTCTTGCTCTTTGCTCCTTTCTCCACTTATCTGAAGAACTCTACCCTCTTCAACTTCAACTTTCACCTCTTCCTTCTTCAGCCCCGGAAGATCAGCTTTGAAAATGTGAGCTTCTGGGGTTTCCTTCCAGTCGATTCTTGCATTTGCAAATGCAGATGTTTCACGAGCTGAAGAGGGCACATTGGCCACGGCTGAGGTGAAGAACCCATCAAGAGGGTCCCATATGTCTAGAGAAAATGGATCAAACACGTTGGTTCTTCGCTCACCAAAAATGCTAGGAATGAGTGACATGTTTGGTAAGTTTGAAGCTTGTTAAATGTTGAAGAACGACTGAAGATATGTTGTTTTGAATGCTTTTGATCAGTTTCAGGATGAAAAGGAAGTGGAATGGGCAGCCTATATATAGGATTAGGAGGAGGATTCTAGCAACTTTAATGAAATTTCTGGTTCCTTCGTGGGCCTTCTCTTCTGTCTTTATTACAACTCTTTAATTAACAGATAATGTTTTTTAATGTGTACAGGTATGGTCTTGTCTTCTATAACCTTCTACCATCTTCAAAGGCATCAATGATTTGAAAGATTTCCAATGTCTACATTTTCCCTCCTGTTTCATCTTTAAAGAAAAAAAGAAAAAGCGAAATGATATAGGAAATTTATTTCTTACATAGAGCAAATGAAAATTCTTCAAGTCAAATTGAGTGCGCATCAAGATTGATTTTTTTTTTTTTAATGATTGAGGGTATTCAAGCTAGTTTATGTGCATCTCAATTAATCTGTTAGAACTCTGAAACTATTGATCAGAAATGAGCTCTGGTAATTACTCCTATTAGTAACCATTGAGACTCGAACTTGAGAAATCATATTAAATCATTCTCTTGCTTTTTTACCCTCAAGAGAATTTTAATTTAGGAAACTATGTTAGATCCTCCTATTGGGAGATCATATAAATCTTTTTTTTTATTTTTTTACCATCAAAGAGATTTGAACATGAGGGATCATATGATTTTCTCTTTTGTTTTTTTATCATGAGGCCAGCCAATGACAGTTATGTGCATCCAAGTTCAACCTTACAAACATAAAACAGAGTTGTATAAACACTGCGCAGAGTCATTCAGATCAATTATTGATCCCAATAGATAAAGATTGCCTCGGAATAGATTGGTCTCATGTGGAATATTGAATCTGCGCACTAAATTATATGTTGTTAGATGGATTGAAACTTGGAATGTGGTTCAGAAATTTTATTTTTCATGGGCCTTACTTCAGCTGATAGGCCCATATAACAACAATAAACCGTACAGTTTCTTTAACCCCCCCAAACATGGACCATATTTATCACGTACCCTAAAACACGCCAAGCACGCCAAATCGGCCCCGCCCGCCCTGCTCCGAATAATAAATTGTTAAAAAAGAGGCAGGCGCCGCTGAGCAGCGCCGTACAAGAAGCATAGGCCTTACGTCATCACCGGCGCGTAGGTCCCACTTGTTTTTTGGTTGCTCAACTTCTCGTTTGCATGTCATCAAGAAATCAGCACCGTTTATTCTGCTTATAAGGAATCAAAGGGTCCAAGAATTTATTGTTTAGAGTTTCAAGGACATGTCTGACAATTGCAATCTTATTCATGATCTTAATACCATTGGTTCCTAGGTTCTCCCCTTTCAAATGCTAGGGGAAGCCCTCCCGGAGTAACCTTAACTTTAGTGGACCAATGGCGATCTGTGATGCTACATTTGGCATAGATAAAGGATAGCCTAAAAAGGGTAAATCCCAGTATAGATCAGCCGTGAAAAATCCAGGTATGAGGGAAACTAATTGACGGCTGTAAATACGGGGTTTGAGTGAACGGTAGTATTGGGCCATGTCTTGACTCAAGAAATGAAGTAATTTTTAGCCCACAATCCAATATTATGTGAGATTATAATTGTACTACAACTTCCTTCATTTTTTCACTTCAAATTTTTATATTTACAATTCTCAAAAATTAAAAGTAAATTAAATAAATCATAATTAAAAATAAAACACAAAAAAAAAAAAAAAATTCAAAGGGCATTTGTGATACTAGGTATGAAACTATGTTTTTCTTTCTTTGGTCAATATAGGATTTAGAAGTGATTATTTGATTGTAAGAGCACCATGTTTTTCTTTTATCAATATGGGATTTAGAAGTGATTAATTGATCGTTAGAGTTTCGAGGTTGTAATTCTATAAACAAATTAAACCATATTTGTATGATTACAAGTTTATGATACCGAGTGTTTTGTTTTAATAAGTATGAAACCTGATTTTTCTTCTATCAAGGTAGAATTTAGAATTAATAACTCGATCGTAAGAGTTTTGGGATGTGATTTCATAAACAAATTAATCCATTTTTCTATAATAACCACATTAATTGATTTGTCTCGTACTTTATTGTTAATTTCGATTGATTTAAATTACTTTAATTTTTTTTAGAACTGTTAAAAATAGAACTTTAAAGTGTAAGTAGAAAGGAATAAGAATAATCTCTTTTATAACAATTATATTCACATTTATAATTAAAGATGGAGGCTAAAGAGTTAATGGGAAGCTAAAAAGTAATAGAAACTCAACAAGCGATGGGCCAAGAGTTGGAAGTTTCGAGTCCAAAAGACATAATCCCATTAGTTTGAAGATAATGATATATTGAAAGAAAAATATTACTCTTAATTTTTTTTTTCTTTTTTCATATGATCGATGTATTCGAGTCAGTCTACACGTATCTCAACTAATCTCTAAGACTTATTAAACACCGTACAAACTTAATGTTATAGGGTAAATTACAAATATAGTAACCCTAAGATGACTCATCTCCCAATAAATCAATAAAAAGAGTGAACTTTCTTCGACCGGCTAACTTTTAAGTCAATAAAAAGAGTGAACTTTCTTCGACCGGCTAACTTTTAAGGTTATATTACTCTTAATTCAATTGCAAGTAATTGAGGTTAAATTTTTGTCTTTGGAAAAAAAACTCCTTGAAAACCAATTTGCGATTGTGTCAGAGAATTACTGGATGATCAAGATTCAATGAACTTGGTTTACAAAAACTTATCTAATTGATTGACACTTGCGTACAATGCTTGAGTTCTTATAGATTTTCATTAATAAATTCTAAATCTTTGCAACTTGGTATAAATACGCGTACAAGTTACCACCAGATTTTCTTTCATGTCCCACGCAATCATAATTGATTTGTTTTAACGTTAAAGTATTAATGTTGCTCTAATTAAATGATTAAACATAATTAATTATCATCACTTTCATCCATTCTCTTTCGCGAATTAATTTGAAAAAACTGTTGCTTGAAGAAATCGTATGGACTAATGACAATAAACGATCGAGGTCGTTTTCTCTTAACTAATTTGGTCCAAATTGATGTACAGGTTTCATCGTGACTTTTATTTCGTAGAATTTGAAATCAATTCTAAAGAGGTGTTACGGGGAAGGGATGACCGATTACTTTCTTCTATCAAGAGATATGTAGTAGGAGATCACGCAGTAAAAAAAATACATTCAAGATAAATAATATAGTAATAAAATCATATTACGTGAAAAGACATAATATTTACGTGGTTCGACATAACCCGTTTATATATACGGATTAGAAAAATCCACTATAGTTTCATGAACATGATTATGAGAGTACAAAATACTATAAACCCGATACATAATTAACAGAGCGAAAACAATCTTAGTTTCGAACCATGCTCAATCCAATTCCTAGAGTAGAAACAATCTCAGTTTTACTTAGAGTGCAAAATAATCCCAGTTTTACAGTTTTACTTAGAGCGGAAAGAACCTCAGTTTCTAAGACATTCTACCCATAGTGTTTAATAACTCTTACATCAAATACATTGTGTTTTTATACCTTGTATTCTCACATTTTCTCAGAACATTGAATTGCTTCTTACCTTATATTTATAGTAGGATATGTGATATTCTATTTCTAATAGGATTCATATTTCAATTCCTAATAAAATTCTTAAATTATATTCTTATTTACAATTGTATTATTTATGAAATAATTTTCTTAATTACATACAATTTTACCTGAGAAAAAATAAGAAAGCGCGCCACAATATCTCAACAATATGTGAGGTTATGTTATTGGTTATAACGTCGACTACAATGCTATGTGATCAATGTAGGTATAAGGCCACATGATCGTGCCCTAATATGAATAAAAACACTTGAAATAACTTTTAAAATTCGGATGTACCATTTTTTCAAAACCCTAATACTATAGTGAAACTTTGCTTGAGAGTTAGATAATAGTAATTATTCTTTATTCTCTACTTCATTTAGTAGTTAATCAAAGTGGATATATATGTGACTGATTAGTAAAGGGTATAAGAACACATGATCATGTTCTACAAGTGAAAGAAACATAACCCCAAATGATTGGTCTGACGATCAAGAAAGTTTACTCTCTTTATTAACTTTTTGGGTTCGAAGCATCTTGGAACCATCTACCATATTTGTGTCTTATCTTGAAACATTAGGGCTTGTAGAGTGTTTAATTGATACTAAAATTAGTTGAGATGCATGTAAACTGACCCGAACACCGTGATAAAAAAAAAATAAAAAATAAAAAATAAAGTTGAAAGACACATGGAGTATCTTTTAAATTCAAGATGTGCCATTTTTTAAAGCTCTATTACTATAAATAGTGAAACGTGACTTCTATGTGACAATAGCAATTATTCTTTATTATCTCCTTCATTTAGTCGCTCATCATTTTTAACCGACGGTGTAAATGAGAAGAAGATATTATTTGAAAAAGATAAACGAGATTGTCCACTTCCAGTCAAAATGGTTGGTACACGTAGAAAGGTGGAAGGTTATAAACTTAATCAAAAGCTTCTTTTATTTGATTTAGATTTACCAGACTTGCGGAATCAGGAAGCTCTTGTGACAAGAGCAGGTCCAGATAGTTAGCTAATTTTGGAAGCATCTCATTACGTTACAACTTACTATCTAACCAGAAATAATAATATAGATTCATGATTTTGACACTAAATGCAAACCAGAAAGTCAGCTTGATGATGCATCAAGTTTCTGGACACTACATGCAAACCAAAAACCGGGCATTAAATTTAGTCTCAATTATCATAACTTAAACTTGAAAAGAATAAAAATATATGTATTTGGTTGTTAGATTTAAGATTAGATTGGTGAACAAATGGGATATAATAATATTAGTGTATTTCGTAAAACGTAAAGCCAATGAGAGTTCAATTTTGTTGGAATATTAGTTGAAGCAAGGACAATGGAT